TATACGTCTAATCATAAATATATTAATTTACGTAATGGCCTTCGCGAAGAAGTGTTAATAGCTCATCTCCGAACCATCTTAAAATTCATTTACTTCTCCTTTCTTTTCCTTTAAATAGAAATCGTACACAAAATCATTGCAAAATCTCCATGGCTTTATATGTCTCCATGATACACATAATTTCAATATTTTCTTTTTTAAATAATTATCGACGAACGTGTGGGTTTAAGACGGCTTGAAAATGGCTCTTCGGTTGCGAGACAGAGAAGACTTGAACGAATCCGTCTCTGTCGCTCCCGTTCAAGTTCCCGCAATATTTTTTCCGCAATATTACGCAATTACTATATCGATTACTATCCTCCTTGGGATCCGGTCGCACGATCGATTTAATCAACCGCAATCCCTTGGAAAGTCCGCTGCGCACGGTCTTCGTCGCGCAATTACGCTACATTCTTATTTATGGAACACTTTCGTTGTGTTAACATATGTCGTTATATGGATGCCGTTGTTCTCTTTTTTTTTTCTTACGTACTTACGGTGGTAAATATCTCTCGTTTCTAATCGTTTGCTCTAGATGAGAATATCGAGTAACGACTTAATACGGTATAGTTTCTGTACACAGGACGAGTCAACAGAAGCGGAATCTTTAAGAATCTCCCGTGAATCCGAAGACAAAAAAATATATGCAATGCAATTCGTGGTTAACTTGAATGTTTATAGATAACAAAACTATAATTGATTAAAATATAAAAATCGAAATTAATCCACGTTTTATTTCCTTCAACAATTAATAGTAAATATACGGCACAATTTTTTTTTTCAAATTCAAAAGAAAAAAAACGTTTCATTTCCGTTGACTCAGCCTGTCTGATCAACGATTTTCGTAACGTGCACGCGATAATACGACCATAATATTTTCTATAATCGATGTCTTACAAATATAGCTTACATGTACTACTAATTTGGCATGTAACAATCGTGACTGTGCGTTTATATACGAGTAACTGATACGTCGCGATGAAGGAATTCGCGTAATATTGCAAGATCTACCGAATCCTCCTTTTTCCGCACGACGTGTCCAAATAAACTTCATTTATGAATTCTTTTTATGAAAAAACATTTCGTTCAATCTATCTCATTCATGACTTTTAGTTATCTTAAATAATTTTTTTTTTAAATCTGTTTGAATTTTTTCTTCTTATTCCTGGATGGACTTCCAACCCACATAAAAGAATCGCAATACCACGAATAAAAAACAGAATAACGTTTAGCCTATCCATTTGAATTAAAAATTTTAAAAGAAGAGAATAAGACGATTATTGTCTAACCGTGTTCTTAAAACTTAACTTACATGTCTCGACTTCGCATGTAATTCCAAGAGAATATTCCAACTTTTCATCAAGAGAAAATGAACTCTGTTATAGATTGCACAAAGAATTCATAAGCCGGACATGTCATGGAACATCTTGCGTACATTACGCTGTTAGTCACGCGATGGTAATCGATGGGATAAGTTTCCGAAGTGTCTAAATCGTATTTCTAATAACTCGGAATAAATACAAGTGATGATGGATATGATTCGTGTGAAAAACGCCTCAATCAATCGAACGAAATTATCGAGTACGCAAGAAAAGTTAATTAAAATATCGCGGAGCAAGAGTAAATGCATCTGGAATGCCACGATAGTATCTATTACACGAGAGTAACCGAGCAAAATTAAACCGGTATGTTCAATAGAATAAAAATCAAGAGTGTGTTCTCATATAATCTCTCTCTCTCCTTAACTTAATTAATTGTTCTGTTATACGAAAAAGTGATAAAATTTCACGACTATAAAACAATGAAAAACGAACTACAATATGGCGAGAATAAATAAATCTTTGTACGTGTATATGTGTATGTGTATTGTGTGTTACTACGCAATTTTGCGCGAGGAAGATATTTCGAGTTCGATACTCCTGAGCGTCGTTATTAAAATTTAAAAAAAAAAGGATCTTATATATATTCGCGAACGAGATAAATTTGATATTTCCTAAACGTCGAACATTAGGATAAAATCGTCGTTCAGGTTTGTGACTACGTATAATATTTGGAGTAACAATCAACGCGAAAACGTATTTCACGCGCGAGAAATGTAATACCGTTCCGATATTCCTGAAAGCGTCGAGTTAGATTATAATAAAATAAAAAAATAAAAATTAAAGTCGTTTATATTCGCGGCTTGTACGTCAGAGTGACGTGAAACGTTTTCACGTCCATCTCCGTGCAATCCTGCGGCCCAATGACACCGTCGCCACTGGTGCGCGATGGCACACGCGTCTCCTTGCTCGCGTGCTCCTCGAAGATATCGTTATGGCTGCTGTCCATCATCTTCTCGACCGTTGGCTGCTGCTGATCCGCTGCCATTACACGCACGATCTTCACGTTCTTGATCGTCTCCAGGGAACGCGACTTGGACGCTTCCGTCACCATCGCTGCCGCGGCCGCTGTAGCCGAGCGGCCAGCTCCTTTAGTGCCGTTCTCTTTGTTGCGACGAGACGAGTTGCGATGCCAACGTTGCTTTTCCCTAGAGCAAGTTCTCCGAAGACTCGGCCGCTTCACTGATTCCGCACTGGCGCTCAAACCCGTAGCTGTATTCAAAAAGACTTCATTAAATAAAGATTCAAGGACAAAAGTTGCTTTCCTTTTAAGAGACAGTCGATACAAATTTCGTTCTATCCTTCTTGCCATTCAATAAATAACAATAAAGAAATTATATTAATAGTGTTTCCTAAAAGAAAAGCAGCCAGAAACAGGTGTTTGATGATATTCGAATATTTAAGAAACCAGAAAAGAAAAAGGTTGATGCAAGCCAAAATATAAAGAACTTTAACTTATGTAGATGTAACGGGAAAAACGCCACGAATTTTTTCCCATACCTAATATATAAATGTAAAAATAATTAAATCAACAGTATTATTTCTCTCTCTCTCTCTCTCTCTCTCTCTCTCTCTCTCTCTCTCTCTCTCTAAAATATATATATAAAAAAAATATATATATATATAATAATCTGAAGAAAATATGATAAGAAAATATGAGATTAAAGAGCAAAAATATCAAACTCGTATCAATCTTCTTCTTTCTAATCAAAGGAGACTCTCATGTGGTTGTTTACCTATATTGCCAGAGGAAGATCGATTGGAACCTCGTAAAATGTGTATCGCCGATGGATCACTGTCCGAGGCAACTACAGGCGTGAGAAACCATTCAGATCTAGTTCGCATTCGTGCGGCTTGCCTCTCATGAACCTGCGATGGCAACGATAACATTTATTAGTTCAATTGTCTGTTTGTCTTCATTGAGACACGATCTTACCTGCGGCAGGTAACTGAGACTCTTGGTGCTCTCGGCATAGCGATTCACCGCGCGAAGCTCTTCCAGCGTCATACCCATTGTCCCATGCTTAGAATGTTGACTACCGTTACTAGATGAACGACTAGGTGCCTGTAATAATATAATCTATTTTCTATGTTGCTTCAAATATTTTTTATATTACGATTGCGACGTAATACGAGACTATAATTGCGATTTCTTATCAATAGATGCGTTTATACCTGGAACAAGCCGTTTTCCTCTAAGCTCACCGAGAGGCGCGTGTAACTCTCGAGTAATGTGTTCTCTGGAATCATGCCTAATGATGATGCGAGATTCACGGTCTCCGGCACGTGAATCAACGCCGGAGTTGACTGCGATTCTTCTTGGTGCGACATACCTATATATATAGTGTGAATTAAAAATTATTCCGATATTGTATAGAGATACTTAGAATCTTTTTGTTGTTATTTAATGTTAGATTAGATTAATAGGAATGAAAATATATTCCCCTTTTCTCATGCTATATAAAATCTTAGCCAAAAATATTAGGCACTTTAATAACTATTAAATAAAAATTTTAACTAAAAAATTAATTTATGGAATTTACTGTAAATTATTTTTTTGTTTCAAGAATCCTTTAAACTTGTGTATAATGATAACAATCAATAGATGACAATGTAAATAAAAGAATTCCTAATGGATGAGAAAAATATTAGTGTCTAATATTTTTTACCAAAATTGTATAGTCGTTTTAAATTATTATTGAGTTAAATTATTAATTATTTTTTCCCTAAAAGAGAGATAAAAGAAAAATCTTTTTTATCGAATACGAGATGCGTTATAGAAAAAATGATGGCGCAAGAAAAAAAATATGATTCTTGTTTCTGATGTCACGATACAATGATTATAGCCAATATGTTACAGCAATAGTAGAGAATCTAAATGCTCAATTCAATGAGATCAGATTCACTTACATTCTAAATTCAACTTCAATCCCCATTTTTCGCACTCGTATTGCAACCACGATTTTTCAGCCTCCAGCGACAGCTGTCCTAAAATTCATATACTCAAGTCGTACACGCGCGATTAAATCGTCGTAAATAAAAATGTGCGCGCATACTTACTCGATACGAGAGTGTCCGGCGGATATCGGAAACTAAAGATCCAATCTTCTTCCACTTTTAATATCCGGCCGGTTATACGCGCGTAATACTCGTAATTATCTCTTCCGAACAGATTGGAAACACCGAAATTGTCTATCATGAACTTGGTAATACGAGTGGCAATCTGAAAATAAATCGACCATTAATGACAAATAATATTGAAATCCTCGAAAGAATTTCGATACCTTTACAATAAATTTTTCTCGAGCGACAATAAATTTTTCAATTCGCAGAGTGACATTCTTAAAAAATTGTGTTTATAAAAGATGAGTGCTTTTCAGCAAGAGATACCATTGACAGAATTATGACAATCTTGTTTGCTAATATTAAACAAAAATAAGATTCACTGTATTACACTTTTTCTCTCCTACTAGAAAACATCCAGTACAAAAATAAAGAAAAAAGAATAAAAAGAAAAATATAAAATACAGCAATTATACAAAGATTATTTTCTTTCAGTTTAAATTAAATTATACAGAATAATTTTTAATGCTCGGATTAAAGTATATTAATTGATATTAATGATTTTAAAAAATAACAATAGCTGGTGGGAAACGAAATTATCCGAGCATGATAATAATAAAGATCAGATTTCGCGTCAAGTACCTTAAATCTGAGAACATCCTCCATCTTAGCAGTCTTGCCGTCACTGACGCAACTATGAAAGAATGAAGGTGCAACGGACACCCCCAAGGCCTCGCTGGTCATCCCCGTGTGCGCTCGCTCACAATTTACTGCTACTATCCTGAATGTTCCAAACAGCAGTACCAGTAACCGTTGTGTGTATATCGGCATGGAGGTAATTAATCTGCGCAGCGTAATTTCCTTTGTAAAGCCAACTAGTCTCGAGAATATAGTGAGAGTGTAAAGAAATCATCACCTGTGTATCTGGTCCCGTTGTTGTTCTATACTATCTAGCTGGATTATGGTAAACAGTTGTTGCTCCGTCTCTTTACCGAATATTCCACCGGGTATCTTGCGCAAAAACTTTTTTAGAACGCTGGCTATCGTGTAATCACTGAAATTGTCCATGTTGACTAGATGTCCGGTTTGCAGGAAGTGTACCAGTTTCTTCATGTTACCCTGGTGACCAGGTGCTCGAAAGATATCTTTTCTGAGTGGAGCTTCCTTATTCAGTTTCAATATAAGGACCTGGAATAAGGGGACGTTATTATTGTAATTGTATATATTTGTATATTCACATATTACTACATATTACTAAGCATCAAGATTCATTTTAACCGAAAATGGCTTTCTTCTCTCTCATTTAAAATCTATCTATTTAAATTATTATTATTACTTTATAATTCTAAGAGTTTTAATTTTCCGTCTACAATTTCGATTTTTTTTTCAAATTTCTTTACTCTTAGCTTTCAAAAAATGTGGAAAAATACAGGATTACTTTTCAACATTTCTATTATCAAATGAATTTCTTAATTATTTTAGAGATATCTCAATCCTTCTTTATTTCGTAGAAAGAGTGAAATTGTGCGAAAAAAATAAAAATATATAAACCTCTTTTCTCGCGCTACATATAATTGTTATCAATTATTACTAATTGTAAATTAAATTATTTTGTTTCCAAAGGATATATATAAGAAAAATCTTTTTAATACAAGATACATTGCAAAGGATTAAAATATAATATAAGTTTCATAATCGTGATTTACCAGTAACGGGCCAGGAATATCATTTTTGCACACTTCGTTCAAGGGTGCACCAAACTTGACCCTGCAAAAAGAAAGCAAAAATTTGCAAACGTTATTTTCTCAGCTAATGGGAACACCGGATTCGATTCCAACGAAACAATAGCGGGAAAATCGCATGAACTCTGAATGTAATAATTCAGCCTAAAACGAATTTCTCTAAAATAGGCACGGGAAAATATGTATGTTGAATTGGAGGCGTAGGTGGTGCGTTTCATTGTTTATTACACAAAATTGCGCTACTAGATATCGTTACTCTGGATTCGCTAAACGAGTGCTTTCAGCATTATTAACACAATGAATCTCCGAGATGTCAATGCATATTAGTAACATACGATATACTTAATCTTCGCAAACTCTGCGATTACTTACAAATGCTACCACGCATCTCCTCAGAACATCAAACATATAACGCAGAATGCTGACAATATTTGCTCGACATATCGTTAAATATCAATTATCACATCTGTGAAAAAATTTAAAAGATCTTTATTACCCCGATTAATTTCCTTATCGACATGCTGTCTCACTATGCTTTATCTATATACTAAGTTAATAATCATCTACAAGAAATTGATTGTCTAACTGTATAAACAATTGATTTAAATTCACGATTATGTAAATACAATTTATAATCAGATTTATGCTTTCTACTTATTGTTAAAAGTATTGCAATTAAAATTTTTAAAAAATATATATTCGAATTTATGTTCCTCTTTCTAATTAATACACAATCATAAAAAATTGATATTTTTTTCAATCATATGTACTGTAAATATTATATCACAACTAATAAATTATATAATAACCTCTTTCCTTTTTCCCAAAAAGTATATTTGTGATTTGAATTAACAATTATATAAATTTTTTACAATCAGACGAGTCACGTCTTTTACTCTTTATCAAAGATATACATTGTAACCAAGATTTCCTGAAAATTTATATTCGATAAGAAACTGGTATACATTATTTTTTTAAATGATTTATTGTTGTATATATCTATTATGTTACAGCCAATGAATTGTATATTTACCTCTTTTCTTATGACTTTCCAAAAAAAATACAAATCTATACAAAGTTTCTATACACATGCGTATATAAATACAAGAAAAAGGTAGTTAATTTTAAAATAACACTTTCTAAAGATAAAATATTGATTAATAAGCGACCGAAGGGTAACCATATTATTTTCGTAAAACGATATACTAACTTTTCCAGGCGTCTCGGGTGCGGAGGCTCTGAGGAGGGATGTCCACAGCTAGTTACAACATTTCCTAACGTAGCAGCGCGTCGATGCATTCTCTCTGTCCAGCTGCTCATTGTACAAAATCTAATGGCAATGACATGCGAGCACTATTCACTCTGGCTCTTCGCTTCTTCCAGCAAAAACGTCACGATCTCCTTCCTCTGATCTTCCGTGCCTCCTTCAATTCAGTCGCTGAAAGCACACATCATAAGATTTTTCCTGCTCTCAGTTTCTAATTTCTGATGCAAATATGTACTACGTTATGACTTAGAAATTGATTTCCATTGTATATATCCTTATTGTATATCGATCACTTATAAAGATAACTTTGAATTCGACCTCTTCACTCTGATTTATTATCATCGATATTCTCGAAACTCAAGACTCTTCTTCCTAACTCAAGAATGTTCGTGCAATTTTACCAACGTTAATACATGAGCTTACTTAAATAAAACAAGTTTGATGAATAAAATTTCACTAATGCATAAAGGAAATTCCATTAAATAGAGAAATATAATTACATTATTTCTGTATTGTCTGCCGTGAAAAAAGCATTGATACAACTAAGAAGTCAGTCTGATAGAATATCATTTAATTAAATTAAAAAAAAATAGAATCTTAGATACAGATCGAAATGATTTCGACAATTTGATCTTAGCAACTAGTGATTCATCAATGTGGGAATTATCGGAAAGAAAGGAAAAAACTATGAAAGCAAGAAGGAAGAGAATGAATGTAATGTCCACTTCTATGTAAATTAACTTGAATCTTGGATAACTTTAAATTTACTTATCTTTTTCTAGTTCTAAGAATTAGAAAAGATAAAGATAAAGAGTAAGCTAAACTCAGATTAAAATTAATGTACATTTATAAAAATGATTCTAATTTTTATTGTTAGAATTGGAGAAAAATAAAAAGTTAAACCAAGCTAAAGTTAAAATTAAAGTTATCTTAACATAGATTTACTTTAATATCAATATAACTTATTTGTTATCTTTTCCTAGTTCTGAGAATCAGAAAGACATATGTCCATTTTTATATCAATAGAGTATCTTTAATCTCAGTTTAATTTCCTGTTTATCTTGTTCTGATTCTTAGAATTAGAAAAGATAAAGAATAAAGTAATTGAGATCGAAGTTAATCTACATTACAGAAACAAACGTAATTCTAAACAAAATAAAAACAAAAGGTAAGTCAATGTTGGTCCAACTAACTTTTCATCTTTTCCTAGTTCTAAAAATTAGAAAAAGAAGAAAAGTAAATTAAACCCAGAATAAAAATCTACATTGATAGAAATGGATATTCATCTTTTTTTAATATCTATTTCTACCAATGTAGATCAACTATAATCTTGGATTAACTCCTTTTCTAGTTCCAAATATTAGAAGAGAATAAAAAGTAAATTAAATCAAGAATTAAAGTTGATCTACATAAATCAAGAGAAATGAATACAATTCTTGTAGCTAGAAAAAGAATGAAGTTAGTCGAACAGAGATTGAATTAAAATTACATTACATTGATAGAAACGGACATAATTCACAAAATTAGAAAAAGGCAACAAGTTAAACTGACATTAAAATTCATTAAACACAGAAAGAAAGACAAGGTATAAAATACAATCCCGACAATCGTGTCGACAATATGAGAGCCGGGAATGGAAAGGGTGAGGGAGAGGGAGAGGAAGAGGAAATCTCACCGAGGCACGGAGCGACGACGGTGAAATCCCCTCGCCGTCGAACGTCGGACGTCGAGTCGAGTGAGCACCGCGAGCGTTTCGCGGTCAGGTTAACCTAATCACGCGCGGAGACGAGGCAGCCGCGGGCGGGCGACATCGCGCGGCGCGGGAACGACGGGGGAACAAGAAACGGACACGGCGGAGGTGGTCGCTCCCGCACGCATCAGCGCGGCCGCGTCTACGTTTCCATGGAAATGTCGCGGCCGCGGTGCCGGAGCAGCATCGTCTCGGCCGTGCCACGCCACGTTACGCCCACGTTACTGGGCACGCCAGGACTCCAGAATACGGCACACCGACCGACCACACGTGTCTTCCTCGTCGGGGAGAGGGAAAGGGGGAAGAGAAGGAGGAAGAGAAGGAAAAGGAGGAGGAGGAGGCCACCCTCGTCACACGGTGTCGACGACGTGCGAACGGCGGCCGCCAGCGGGCCAGGAGGAGGGCATCACTTCTCACGTAACTGCCACGGCCCGCACACCACCGCCCGTAGCAGCAGCTATCATCGCAAAAAATCAATATGATTCCCCCCTGGATAGCCTGAACTACCTCGACTGCCTCGACTGGCTCGACTGGATGGTGGACACACTGACGGACGGATGGATGGATTAATGGCAAATTCACATGGCGCTCTGATGGCCATTGGCTGCGTTCAGCAGATTTAATAATTGAGTGAGCGCTCCAAACTTCTTGCACGATTCACTTTTCTTCCTTTTCTCTCTACGTTGGAGAAAAAGAGAGAAAAGATGAATGGTGCAAGAACTTTAGTTAAAAAGAACAGACTTAAGTATTTAAAACTGTGAGGAGAGATGGAATTTTGCGCGGTAAATAATTGAGAACCTAACCTAACCTCAATTATTGTTTACTATTTGCCACAATGTTGTTCGTGCCTGTCGTTTTTAACAACACATTTGTTTTTTATATCATGAAATGCTTTTTGCCAGTCAAATTGACTTTATGCACACGACAGCGATGATTTTTTGTTGCAAATATTTACTATAAATAAATAAAAGGACCAAAATTAATGAAATCTATTTTGTCAGGATAAAACGTGACAGAACATGACAACACGTATATACATGCATGTAGTTTGCATAAACTACATTGAAATTAACAGTTTGAAAACCGTAAATTTAGCGTGACTGGAAATTCAAGTAAGCGCTTTTTTATTATCTTGCATTTTCTTATAATTGTTTCAGCTCCTAAAAGAGATTTTATTTTAAAAAATCATTATTTTAAAAAATCATGTTTCTTATTTTCATTTGCAAAACAACATAATAAGAACTCATTAAAATCGGAGTAAGATACTTCTATGTGTTTCCTTGTGAAAAATATATTAAATTTAAATATTTATTTAAATAGTATATACTATTTAAATAATAATAACACCAACTAAACTAATTATTTACTCAATAAAAAAAGTGATAATTGAATTAATTAATAGTTCTTGTACTAAACAAATGTATCTTTACATTCAATAAATATTTCGTTGGTTATTCAAACAAATATTTTATTAAAATTTAATACATTTTTTCACCGCGTGTATTAAAATTTTATTTTTTTAAATTTTGTTTCTGTTCTTCTTAATTCATTTAACTTTGTGATAATTAAATTTATTTTCTTATTTTCTTTCTTATTCTCAGTAATATTGTATATATGCTATATGCTGGACAAGATTAAGATAAATTTTTACAAAAAAATTAAGTTAAAAGAAACTTATATGTTAATAAGAATAACAAAAAGAAGATGATGGAAAATAACAGCAGAGAGCAGGGATTTAAAAGAGGATTGGAAGCAGATAAGATCCTTGGTTCGGCAGATGACAATGGAAAACTGATGTACTTGATACAATGGTAGGTAATAAATCTCATGTACTTGTGTTATTATTATTAATATTATGTCCCAGGTAGTCCCAAAATAATACAATGAAGATGATAGAAAGTTAAAGTTATTTTAGGAAAAAATTATATATTAATTAATGATGCCATTCAATACACTTTTTGATGATTTAATGATAAATTCTTGACATGATAATAATTTTTAAGTGATTTTTTTAGTTAAAAAATACAAGATTATAGTAAGATCAAAATACCAGTTAAGTTCAACTCATTTTGAAAAAAAAATCATAATAATGTCATTTGATATATTTTTGACAATAATTTTTTGACAAATTTATGACATCATGATTTTTAACTAATTTTTTAATTAAAAAACGATCATTTAAAAATTATTGTTATGTTAAAAATTCATCATACAATCGTCGTAAAAAGTATATCGAATGACATTCTGATTTTTTTTTTTTAATGACTTCTATTTGATGTTATCTTGATCTTATTATAATTTTATATTGTACTTGGATTCCTTGATGATCAAGTTGATAAAGCATCCGAACACAATGAGAGAAATCCAGATTTGAATCCTGACTAAAGTGATTTTTTTGTAATAAATTTTTTACAGTGTTAAAAGATGCTCATTCAGTAATAGACTTCAGTAATATTAAATTAAAAAAGACTTCAGTAATATTAAATTGCTTGTGGTATTATATAGTTCAGCCAATATAGAATTGCGTGTCAAGCCGACAAATAATCAGCATATAATTGGCTGGAAATTGTAAAAATTCACATAATTATGTATTTAGGCATAAAACTTCATCTTGACCAAATGAGAGCCTTCATTTGTGTTGATATATTTATTTCTAACATTTAATGTACATTCAGAAATACAAAAAAAGAATTTAAATTAATGAAAATAATAAACAATTGAAGCCGATTGACGAGTAAGAATAATTTTGTTTGTGCAGGAAAGGAACAGATGCAGTCGACATGGTGTCTGCCAATGAAGCCAATGCCAAATGTCCTCAAATTGTTATCCGATTTTATGAGGACAGAATGACCTGGAATAAGGCAAAAATAAAAGCGTAAAATATTTCATGAATTTCCTTGAAATGGGAGGCTGGATCTCTATATATTTTAAGAAAATTGTCTTTTATTGTGATCTCTTGATGCGGTCAAAATCTTATTACAAGTGCTTTGAAGCACTTTACTAATTAGCTAATCAAATAATCCTTCATTGCATTTGTAGTATCACGTTAACCGTTTTCTATGTAAATGTATTATAGATATTCTTAAGTTATAACTTTTATTGAAATGAATCTATATCTTTTTTTATCATTGTTCATTTAATATATTTCCTTTAGTCTCTATACTTGACTCTTTAACAAAATATCAATTTTTTTAAATTGTTTGTCTGTTCTTTATTTTGCAATATTTTCCATTTGTTTTTTTTTATTCACAATTTTTGAGCAGAAAAAAATTAATATCACAAAAGTTTGTCTAATTATCCCAAATATGTTTCAAAAATTTTTTAAAAAAAAATATTTTCTGATAAAAAAAATATAATATACGAGATAACTAAAATGGAGTTGAATCTTTGTGCATATCTTAAGTGCAATAAAAAAATAAAATATATAATTGAAAAGATTTATTTCAAGTATTTATGAATCCACATTCATCATCATTAGGTGGTAAATTTAATTCCTGCTGTTTTTTTGTTTCTAAATTTGTTTCAAAGTGAAGATAAATGAATATCTTAATCAAAATAATTTTCCCCATTTTCTATTATTTTTTCCCATCTCTCCGACAACAGGACAATCCCACGACGGTAGAATGCGATGTCTTTCGAAGATCCATTCATCCATTTTTGGACTTCTTCATGACTGGAGAAGTGTATCCATAAGTGCGTGTTGCATTGATGGTAATCCGACGGTGCCAAGTTTGGAAAGTATGCTGGATGCGGGAGGATTTTTCATTCAAATTATAAAAGTGTCTGCTTTACTTTCCGCAACATATGATCAAGTGTTATTATGCAACAAAATGACTGCGTTGATTGTGGATGATCTTTTTTCCATCAATTCATTACTCAATTAACGTAATTGCCGTTGATTAGCTGTAACGGTTTCATTCAGACAATAGCTCCTAATACAGCACACCCTCCTGATCCCATCAAATGCAGAGCAGTTCTTAGGCCTGCAAATATTCTTCGGTGTTGAAGTGGATGGTTGGGGCTTACCCCTAATTTCCTCCGCTTAGGATTATCAAAATAAATTCATTTATTATCGCCAGTCACAATGCGCCACAAAAAACTCTTTTTTCTTTGCCTGACAAGCAAAGAAGTCATGACAGACAAACGATTCAAAATGGCATTTTTTGATAACTCATGTGGTAGCTATCTTTATGAATTTTTCCCAAGACATGCAAGCATTTTGAGACGGCCATTCGAATGACATTTAACGCAATCGACAACTCTAAAACCGTTTGACTTGACTTCTCATCGAGCAATTTTTGCAGCTCGACATCTTCAAATTTTTTTGGCAGTCCGAGACGTTCTTTGTCTCTCACATCAAAATCACATTTCGAAAGCGTTAAAATCAAACTCTATATGTTGTTTCCGATAGTTTCATCACCATATACTTCAGATAATAAGCAATGCGCTTTAGCTGCAGTTTTCTTGAGGTCGAAGTAGTGAAAAAGCTTATTTTGAAAAAACAGCTTATCGTGGTTCATCTTCAATCAATTGGAAAATCTTGCGTTGAGAAATTTAACCTGTGAAGATTTAAGGACTGAATAATTTTCAGTGATGTCTGAACTAAAAGACACATGACTTCACCATCGAAACTCGCCAACGTTGGAGCCAATACCCTCTAGTAGCGAGCGACAGGAATTAAGTTTACCACCTAATATTAGACCAGCTATACATCTTCAAATAAACTGATCAAGTATGCATGCGCAAGTAGTTTATACAAATTTATTGGAACATATATGAGACAAAAATTTTAGTTTAATCAAAATCTATGTATCCCACTCTTGACATTATTTGTCACCTACCACAATATTTCCATTCAATCCCAGTCAGAAATGATAATGAAATCGATATCGAATCGATTCGATGTCATTCGATATCATTTCTGATTTCTGGGATATTTAATTTCATTTAATAAAAGAGCCAGTTAGAATTTATATCTATATACATATTAATGTAGCTTTATACACATTTCGAATTTATGAATATGTATATATAGAAATATTAAATTACATATAATATATATAATTTAATTAATATATATAATAATAGATATAATTTAATACAAAATGTT